TCGCCAGAGTGACCTTTCGTGCGGGCTCGCAGGGGTCCCCCCAGCATTGGCCTGCGCCTTTGGATTTGGCTTACCGCGGCCGCCTAAAGCCGCGCACCAAAGGTCACTCTTGCCTAAGTTCGTTCGCGCGTGAAGTCGAAAGCCCGTTCAGAGGTTCGCTGTTTTGGGCCTCCACGGCCCTTCACGAGCCCCAGGACTGTCCCAAGACGCCTCAGGACGAAAAGCTGGTCCCGGGGAAGGCCACGGGGTCAGAACCCGTTTCTTCGGGACCCGTTTGCTTCATGCCAAGTTTTCTTGTTCCACCGCCCGCCTCGGGATGGGCCCCGTGGCGGACGACGAGGCGCCGCCGTCGCCGTCGTCGTCGTCATTGCAGTCGTCGCCGCCGTCGGCGTCGTCACCGCCGCCGTTGGCTCCTCTAGCGCCGTCGTCATGCTCGTCCTCCGCGTCGTCCTTCTCCTCGTCCTGACCCTCGTCCTGCTCCTCCTCCTCCTCCTCCTCCTCCTCCTCCTTCTCCTCCTCCTCCTCCTCGCTCGTCCGCGAGGGGAGGAAGAGGAGCAGGAGAAGCGAAATAAGAAGGGGAATGTCGGAGGAGGGACGAGAGAGGTGGGAGGAGGAAGAGGAAGAGGGAAGGAGGGAAGGAGGGAGGAGGGGGGGAGGAACGGATGGAGCGTGGGAAGGATGGAGGAAGGGCGGCCCTCCGTCGTCGGCCCTTTTTGTCGTCGGCCCTTCGTCTTCGGCCCTGGCTTGGCTGCAGCCCTTCATCGTCGGCGAGCTCCTGGGCGGAGCCATCGCGCGGCAGGGACAGGGGACGAGGGAGATGGGACAGAAGACGGGCTCAGGAGGGGAAAAGACACAGACACAATTAACCGAATACAGCCGAGAATAACCCCCCAGGGAGAAGAAAGTTCGGCGGTTAGGGTGTGATGATAAGAGTTGCCCACCAGGACCAGCATTAGGATGTTAACAGAGGAGCCACAGCCGAGGATATCTTGAGACATCCTTGGCTCTGTGTCCTCTCTGAAACATCCTGAAGGAACGCGTCGGCTTTTAATATTTTTATAATACAGAACTGAAGCTCGGAGGTGCGCGCGCGCGCCTCTGAGCTTCACTTCTATATTTCCCCAAACAGAGCTTGCTTCTGTAAGGGGTCCTAGCGGATATAAAGCTGAGGTGAGGTGGGCGGCCGATTTCGGTGGCCAGGGCCTGGTGCCCGGGTGCCCGGGGGTGCCCGGGTGGCCGATTTCGGTGGCCGGGCCCGGGTGCCCGGGCGCCCGGGTGCCCGGGGGTGCCCGGGTGCCCGGGGGTGCCCGGGTGCCCGGGGGTGCCCAATAGCCCAGTAGCCCTATAGCCGTATAGCCCTATAGCCCTGTAGCCCTATAGCCTTATATCCTTATAGCCCTAATAGCCTTATATCCCTATAGCCCTATAGCCCCATAGCCCATATAGCTCTATAGCCCCATAGCCCTATAGCCCTATGGCCCTGTAGGTCACAGATCTATAGCCCGATAGCCTTATAGCCCGATAGCCGTATAGCCCTATAGCCCAGTAGCCCTATAGCCCTATAGCACTAACAAACATCTGATTGGGTTTTTTCTCGGGTATCATATTCACCATTAATAAATCGACATTTAGTTCCAAAAACGAAATTGAAAAATTCTGGAGCCCGCTAAGGAGGCTGAAGGAACGCGTCGGCTTTTAATATTTGTATAATACGGAACTGAAGCTCGGAGTTTCTATAGAGATTCCTCATGTGCCTCGTTTTCCCAGGATAATCAACCACAGCGATAAACAAGTTCAGGGGGGCAGGGGGAGGAGAAGAAATATAGAGAGATAAATCGAAAGATAGAAAGAGAAGAGGAGGTAGAGGAGGAAGAGGAGGAGGAGGAGAAAGAGCAAGAGGAGGAGAGGAGAAGGAGATAGCAACAATCCAAATATTAAAACTTATCAGATTCAATTTGTAAGCGCTTAATGAACATTGAACTTTTCATCTGCTCGTGTAGGGTAGCTCACGTGCCTCGGCTTCCCCGGATAATCAACCCCAGCGATAAACAAGTTCAGGGCGCCAGAGGGAGGAGGAGGAGAAAGAGATAGAGAGACAGAGAGAGAGAGACAGAGAAAGAAAGGAAGAAAGAAAGACAGAAAGAACTACAAAGAGACAGAAGGACATTGGTTTCGCTTGAGACATCCTGAAGAAACGTGTTCGCTTCGCTTGGTGTTGTTATCTCAACATAAGAAGGAAGTAATATCGATGGCGAACTTTTCACGGTGATAATGAAGTTCGGCCTCCGCGCCCCCGCGCCCCCGACCAAACTCTTATTGGCCGTGGATAATCAATTTTTATGCGGGGGGGTACATTATTCTCGTGGGTATGGGGTTAATCGTCGATCTTCAGGAAAATAAAGAAAATATGGGAAGTGGGGGGAAGACGAACTGGAAATATGGGGAATCCTGGGATGTGTGTCTATTTATTTGTGTCCTTGGGCCCCTCTAGGGACGAGGTGCGAGAGGCGAGGGAGGTGGGCGAGGGACAGGGGGGCCAGGCAGGAGGGAGGGGTCGCCTGAGGTGCCGCCGCCGAGGCGCATCGCGTGCCAGGGGCTGCTGGGCATCAAGAAAAAGCGTTGCGTCGATCAGAGGTACTTCGTCATCTACGAGCATGGGTTCCTCTACGGGGCCCAAAATAGATACAATCAACCCGCATCGTAAGGATAAGCGACGTTCCAAGGTTACCCTTGAATCCTTCCCCTTCGGCCCATCCTTGGCCGCTTTCGATCGCCGCGAGACGCCCGCACAGTGTCGACAGGGCCTTCCAAGGCTCTTGCATCCTTACCGTGAGTCCTTGTGATAACGGTTGACTGTACACCACCGCCTCCTTGTTTTCCTCCCTCTCCCAGGAAAGAACGGAGGAAGAGGAGGGAAAAGGGGAATGGGGATTGGAGGTGGTGGTGTATGTTATTGGGGCCCGTACAATCATGAACTATTACATCGACCAGCAAGCTTTCGACGATGGCGCGGAGCCGCGCGGCAGGGTCAACATCGAGCACATCACCAGCCTCAAGGCGCTCGACGACTCGTTCCAGATAGAGGTCGACGGAAGGACGATCGAGTTCGTCCCCGTGGAGGGGCAGAGCGCCGATCTAAGCCCGTGGGTGAGGGAGCTGGAGCTCGGAGAAGAAACAGCTGCATAAACATAAACTTTCGGTGCTCCGCGTGGATTTCTTGTACCTGTGCTGGCCTCCCCTCCCTGGCGCGCAGAGCGCGCCAGGGGCGGCGCTGGAGGCGCCGCCAGGGGGGGCCCATCGCCGATCCAAGAAGTCCGCGCGGAGCATCGAAGTTTATGCTTATGCCGTCTTGCTCTTCTGGTAGGAGCGGCAGTTCAGGATGCTGGGGTGCGAGGACGACGAGGAGGAGGAGGAAGAGTCCGAGGAGGACGAGAAGAGGGCCGGGGAGGAGAGCGGCACAGCCGCCACTGGCGCCGAGGCGGAGGAGGCCGCGGGCGACGCCGCTCTCTGCCACGGCAATCTCGAGGTCACGAGGAAGGGGAAGGCCCACACCAGGTGGGGCGTTCCAGAAAGGGCCTCGCCTTCGAGGATCGCAGGGGTCGGCATCTCTTCCTCGGCGGGAGGCCTGCGGAAGCTGGCGGAAGTAAAGCGAGGCCGGCTCCGCCGGCGGAAGCCGCCAGCAGTTAAATCGGCCTCCCAAGAGATGGCAGGCTTTTGTCGGTTCGGGGTTTCTGGAACCCGCCAGGTATCCGGCTGCTTGCGGCAAGCTCCGCCACCGTGCCAGCGCAGCGCTGTGTGCGCGGGCGGTTCGGGCACCGCTCAGGAGGCCATGACGCGTGACGCCGCTCGCCTGTATTCCCTGAGAGGGCCCTCGTGAGGCTCAATTGGGCCGTCCTGGGATTCTCTTGGGCATCTGTGGGGCCGTCGTGGTGGGCTTGTCTTGTGAATCTCTTTTTGATGCCTGGGACGCCTCTTGGGGCCCATTTGGCGCCGCTTGGAGTATTGTTGTGGGCGATGGGGCGCACGTTGAGGCAGTATTGCAGTCGACCCGCATAGCAAGGATGAGCAGTGTTTCAAGGCTGCCCTTGCACCCTGGCCCCTTCGGCCCATCCTTGGCCGCTTTCGCTGGCCGCGCCCCGCTCGCAAAGTGTCGACACGGCCTTCCAAGGCCCCTGCATCTTTATCGCGCGTCCTTTTTACACGGATTGTGGGCGGTGGGACGCATGTTGGGCGGCCCTGGTGGTCATCCTGGGCACCTTGGAACCTGGGGCATCCCAGGGGCGTCGGGCCGCCCAGGGAGCCTCGAGAGGGGGGCTGTGCGCAGGCAGGCGTTGCCCGAAGGGAGGAGCCTCTTGAAGACTTACAGGATCCTACGAGTACCAGGCAGCATGACGGAAAGCGCGCTTGGACGCATAGAGTCGCGCGATGGACGGCGAGTTCGGATTTGTTATCAATTGGGGAGATCCAGGAGGGGGAACGCGCGCGATGCACTCGAGGTCGGTTGCGACCGGAGGACGGGAGTCGCGATTAGGTTCAGAGAGTCGCGCGATATACGTCTGCAGCCCAGAGGGATCTTTTATCAATTGGGCGGTCCAGGGGGGGAATTGTCGGAGATTTACAGAATCCTACCAGACAGCATTCTTGCATGCCTCGACGAGCCAGGGGTCACGGTGGCGGATTTCGCCCTCTATGTTGACCGCATGGTGTACTTCGCCAACGGGGCAGATTTCGCCTCAGGGGCGGAGTTTCGTGGCAAAGTATTCGACATGAGCCAGGTCATCAGCTTGAAGGAGCACAGCGACGGCTTCACGGTCATGACCGAGAGCGAAGGGGTTCCGCAGGCGCCCTTGGATTTCAAAGGCGCCGCGGCTGAGCTGCCCCAGTGGCACAGCGCTCTGCGCAGGCAGCTCAAGCCCTCGCTGGCGAAAGACTACCAGCTCGTGGGAGAAGCGGGCCCGATGGTTGGGGACCTCGCCCCGGCAAAGCATGAGATGGACGCGATGGAGCCCGAGCCCACGAGCTCGAGGAGCTTGGAGGTGGGGAAGGCTGCCCAGGAGAGGGAGAAGGATTCTGACGCTCCCAGAAATAGTGCCATCGTGTTCATCAAGCCACATGCTGTCTTTCCACGCGTGCACGGCCTAGTAGAGAGCATGTTGCATGATCGCGGCGTAAGCATTGTGAGAAGTGGCCGCATCGATGCGGAAACCATAGATCAGAAGGGTCTCATCGACATCCACTACGGGGCCATCGCTGCGAGGGCTCTCAAGACCAGGCCGTGTGACCTGGTCGTCCAGCCCGGGCCCAAGGCTGATTCAAGAGGCTTACGTCATCCCGTCGATCCATGGAGGTAGACAGGGCGAATGTAGTCTGGGCTGCGGGTTGCCCGAGTAGGGTAAAGCGCAGGAGGACGACAACGAGCGGTATACCCAGGAGAGACAGCAATGCAAGGGGATAGGGGAGAGCGGGCGGGATGGTGGGAAGTTGCGGTGACTGCGTCCTCATTGGTTGGTTCTCTTTCTTCGTGTCTATTGGTGGCCTGTGTCCAGGTGTGTTGTAGTAGCCTAGTTCCCGTTCGGGATCCTTTGCAGCAGGGCGATGTTGTGGAGACGAAGGATGCAGAGCGGAGATGCGCAGAAGGATTGTACTTCAAGCAATGGAGGAGGCGGCGAAAGCATGAGCTTCAAATTGTCAATCGGTGTGTTTGGTGTGCTGAAACTTGTAGGCCCACATGGCGAGAGCTGAGTACGGCAGGCTTCCCATGAAACAAAAACAGCACTAAGATCCCGACTAGCGAATGTTGGAAGGTATCATGGAAGGTATGGTCTGGACATGTGTGGCCGAACAGTTGGGAGTATCGTTTAACCCTCGTGCGGACGTCAGGGTTTTTGGGAGGGTCACGTGGGACTCTTTCAGGGGCCTCCCACGACAACATTGGCGGCCTGCGGAGGTTGTTGGGTTATTGGGCCCGTGTGGGGGGAGTATTTGGGGCCGTAGTGGGGCAAGGTTGAAGCCGTATTGGAGCAAGTGTTGGGGCCGCCTTGAAGGCCAGACGATGTTCAAAAATCATTTTATTTGTTGGCAACAGGGGGTTATGTAACGAATGATGCGCATAATTGCTATCGGTCATGACATCACATTGGCTCGGGACGCACACATGACTTACGGAGTAGCACATACTTCGTGTGCGATATCACGTTGCTCTCATAAGAAGGACCGTTGGCATGGCCCCCAACGCTCAATGACCTCACTCAGGCGCAGGCCGTCCATCGGACGCCCATGCGCTTACACAGAACGACCTCACAGGCGCCATGGTAGGTTCTCTCTGCACGATGGGATGCAATCTGATATGTTCTTATTATCCATGCAATATGGACATCATCTTGGACACGTCAGGAGTTTCTGGGGCCATCAGGGGCGCTTCGGAACCGCATGGAAGCGTTAAGGCGAGATCTCAAACAATATGGTTTTGGGTGTTTGGGCTCTCCCTCGGGGCCTCTTCCGGACTTCTTCTGCTATGTCAGGGCCCTTGGGTTCCTCCTTGGGGCTTGATGGCCGTGTTGGTGTAATTCCAGGGCCATCTTGGAACGCATCTTGGGCATACTGGTGTCGTCCGAAAGTGGATTGGGAGGATCTGGGCCCAGAAGAGCGCTGGCGAGTTCGCGCTTCCCCTCCCACTTCACCGCGTTCGAATTGGATGTTTGGGCAGGGGCTCCAGCGGCCACGGGGGACAGCCGAACATCTCACGCGTCTTACCACCTTTCGGCAAGCATGGGTCGGCGAATTTCGAGAAGCTGTTCGGCATCACATGGGAGAGCGCAGTGGCCCAGCACCTGGTCTTCAATGCGAGGGGTGCAGCCAGCAAGTTGGGCATGGATCCCCTCAAGCTGAGCGAGGAGTGCGGCAAAACCACGCGCGGGGTCGACCAGCTCAAGTTCGGAGGGGGCTTCTACGTGGCGAAGGTGCAGGGCGTCTACGTAGTCAACGGCTTCTACGAGGGCATGCGCGCGAAGTTCACGGCGGCCGGCACGTGCATCCAGTATTTCGAGGTTGCGTGGGACCCCGCATCGCTGCCTTGGGAAAAGTTCAGGGCCGAGGTCATCGGGGCCACCAATCCGAAGGAGGCTGCTGCTGGCTCCGTGCGGAACGCCATCTTCCAGCAGTGGGAGGCCCTCGGCCTTTGCGCAGAGCCCGACACCTCGGACAATGCCGTTCACGCGTCAGCCAGCCCGTTCGAAGGCCTTGCGGAGAAGGCGAATTGGCTCTCCGCGAGTGTGTCTGAGGATCCTCTGGGCAAGGCGCTATCCGCGGCAGGCCTGGGCCAGAGCACGGTCAAGGAGTGGATGCAGGACCCCGCTGTCGTCTTCGAGGGTAAGAAGCAGTCTTTGTTCGATTTGCTTGAGGACCTGGACTTCGAACCATGCGTGGAGAGGGCCAGGGACATCATGAAGCAGCAGACGAATTCGGCCACCAGAGCGCACCGAACGAGCGTGGTGGCGGAGCAGTCGCTATCGGCCGACGGGCGGGGCGGGGCCCGCGAGGGCCTGGCAGACAGCCCGCCATCGGCGGAGAAGAAGCCCGCGCGGCCATCGGTCGCGTCGCGGGGCATCCCCACAGCTTCCGAGCGCCGAGCGTCTCGGCGGCAGGCGGCCCCACCTGAAGAGGCGTCCGCGGCGAGGCCAGCCAGGGCGTCGACATCATCCCAGCGGCGAGTCTCGCCGGTCTCACGGCAGGCCTCGCGGGTCTCAGCTGCGGCGCCTGCGGCGTCGGCGAGGGCAACCTCGAGGTCAGTGACACCACAGCAGTCGCCCAGGAAGAGTGAGCCGAAGGCGTCGGCGAGGCCTTCGTCGGCGGCTGCCCAGGCTGCCCCGCGGCAGCCGCCAGCGCCCTCGCGGTCCCCGAGGTCGATGGAGCCGCCCTGGATGCAGGCTATCGGCACAGAGGGCGTCCTGGCCAGCGGGCCGCTGACCATGCAGGGTTTCGGCGTCAGTGGAGATGAGGTTTACTGCGCATTGCTGCCAGATCGTTTCATCTGGTCGCACGGCCAGGCTGCGGACGTCAATAGCCTACGCCTCGCGAGCGTGGGGAGCATAGACATCCATGACGGTGGCTTCGAGATGCAACTCTGCGGCCAGCAGGACCAGCAGGGCGGCGGGATGTCGAAGATCCAGCTTCACGTGGCGACCGCAGCGGCGGGCCCAAGGATGCTGGCCAAGATGGAAACCCAGGGTTTGCGCCAAGCGCGGCAGGTGGCCCAGGAGTTGCTCAAGTGGGAGGAGGCCCTGCACAGGGTGGATTGGGCCGCGCTCAAGCAGGACGACGCCATGAAGCCCTTCGTCGAGGCACGATCGCAGAGCGCCCGCAACATCTTCAGAGCACCTGCCGAGGGCAGACCTCCTCAGGCGGGCGGAAGCCCTCGCGACGCAACGAGGCAGTCAGGCCAGGCGCGTTCGCCGAGCCCCCGCAGGGGCCGAAGAGAACCTGCCGAGCCTGGGCGTTCTCCACAGGCAGGCGCAAGCCCTCGCGACGCCATGAAGCAGTCGGCACAGGCGCGATAGCTGGGCCCCAACACCACACACAACTCATACAGTACCCGTGTTATCTGAAGCAGCGCCCAGCCAGAAAGTCCTAAGGATGACGCAAGAGCGCCACCCGTGCCCCCGATTGCAATGCTCAGATTCACGCGCAGGCCCAGGTCTGCAAACGCGACCGCTGTTGTTTCGGAACGACTTACTTTCCCCTGTCCTTTTGGACGACCGGCATGAATGTTGGAATTTGTGGCCAGGGGGACATACCGCTTCGATGTTCCTGAAAGATGGGCTGTTGTTGTTGAACTCCCTGTCGGAATCCTATAGCAGTACTAATATGGTTGTTACTACTACCACTACCACTACCACTACCACCAGTACTGCGACTACTTTTACGACTACCATTAGTACTACGACGATTACTACTATTACTACTACGGTGATTACTACTACTACTACGACTACTACTACTACTACTACTACTACTACTACTACTTCTACTTCTACTACTACTACTACTACTACTACTACTACTACCACTACTACTAATTTAAAATAATCATAAAGCGATTGCGATTACTAGTGATACTACCGGTGCCCAAAATATTACTACTACTACTATTACTACTACTACTACTACTACTACTACTACTACTACTACTACTACTACTATACTACTACTACTACTACTACTACTACTACTACTACTACTACTACTACTACTAATAGTACCACTGTTACTGCTGCTACTACTACTACTACTAATACTACTACCACTACTACTACTACTCCTACTACCTACTACCTACTACCTACTACCGACTACCGACTACCTACTACCTACTACCTACTACCTACTACTACTACTACTACTACTACTACTACTACTACGACTACTACTACTACTACTACTACTACCACTACTACTACTACTACTACTACTACTACTACGATTACGGCTACTACCTCGACGTCTATTTCTACGACTCGTACTATTACTACGACTACTGCGACGGCGACGACGAGTCTCATTGCGCCTGCTACTACCACTATTACTACTACTACTACTACTACTACTACTACTACTACTACTACTACTACGACTACTACTACTATTACTACTACTACTACTACTACTACTACTAGTACTAGTATTAGTACTAGTACGACTACTTTTACGACTAAGGTTGCCGCTACGATTACTAGTACTACCACGACTACGACTACTACAATTACTGCTACTCCTCCGACGACTCTGTCTACTAGTAGTAGTACCACTACTGCGACGACGACTACTACTACGACTACTACGGCTAGTATTGTTGCTACTACTATTACTACTACTACGACCACTACTACTACTACTACTACTACTACTACTACTACTACTACTACTACTACGGTTACTCCTGCTACGACCACTGCGAGTACTCCTACGACTACAAGTACTACTACTACTACTACCACTACTACTA